TACTACCTATATATATATATATATATATATATATAAAACTAAAGGCAATAATGGCCTCAAAAAGCTTCAAACCAAACCATATTTTTGATCACCACCATCCCTCCCGCGTGAAGCTCTGCAAACATCTAACCTAACCATATTTTCAATCACCACCATCCCTCCCACGTGAAGCTCTGCGAACATCTCGTTCTCCTGCTCCTCTGCTGTGCCTCTGCAAAGGGTCGCCTCTCTCTTGCTCTCCCTCTCTTCCCATCTGCAAAACTCGTGAGCTCTGGACCAGGCAAAGCTCTGCGAACGTCTCTCTCTCCTGCTCTCTCGCTCGCCCTCTCTTTGCCCTCTGTAAAGCTTCTGGACTAGGCATATTTCTTCTGCAGCAAACAAACGGGTGAGTGACCTCTAGATTGTATCCCCGTTTGGGTGTTTTTCTTTGCTCGAACGAATCCAACCCCAAATCAAGAATAAAACCCTTTTTTAAAAAAGTGAAACTCATTTTTTTTTAAAAAAACCCTAAATTGAATAGTTTCAATGAAACCCTACATTTTTTCCTAATGAATAACCAAAAATACGAGAGGAAATCATAATCACAGAAATTGAAAGAGAAAACTACAAATGGGAGAGGAAATTTTTGGTTTGGTTAAAAATAAATTATGTGATTTCAGATTATCACAATTTAAATCGAACCCTTATCATGAATAACCTCAAATTGAAGAGTTTCAATGAACCCTTATCACAACTGGGGTTTTTCTGATAACTAGTAACTTGACATTTGTATTTTTCTGATTTTGGGTTCTAAGTGGGGTAAAATTGCTGTTTTTTTCTTTTACTTTTTTGGATGACGGATTTGTGAATTGTTTTTTATTTTGCTTTTATTGGGTATGAATTTGCCTTTTTTTTGTGCAGGATTTCTTATATTCTCTTTTATCAGAGATATTTTGGATTTTATTTGCTATTGGTATGAGAATCTGTTTCATGGAGTATGTTGTTTACCTGTGATTTTTTGCATTATTTGAACTCAAATTTCGGCCTCCCAAACGCCGGTTTTCTTCTTTTTTCTGCTATTTTCTGGTGTAAGTGTTATATATTATGTTTTTCTGTGGAATTGAGATGTTGTTTCATGGAATATGTTGTTGCACTATGAATTATTGTAGTCTTTGAACTAAAAAATTATTCGATTTCTATAGAGTTTGTGTTTTTTGAACTCAAAATTGTTTGACTGTTGTAGAGGGACCATTGGTTTATATTTATTTATAAATTTGATGGGGTAAAGCCATTGAATCTGATTGCTGTTTGATGCTCTGATCCTCTCTATCTTTCACCCATGGTTTATATTTGTTAATTTCAAAAATTTTCACGAAGTCGTTTTATTATTTGTGAATTTGATAAATTTTCATTTGGTTTGCTTTGTTTTGTTTAGAAAGGACGATAAGCTCCTTCTAGAATTCATTTACCAAAAGAAAGAGCATCTTTGAATTTCTACTTCAATTTCTTTTTGCACTAGAAGAGGTTGTTTTTAGTGACTTAAAGGAACAAGTTCCTAATGCGTCATGGGCTTCAACAATTCTCTGTAATTTTTATTTTATTTAAAAAAATCAAGTCCAAGTTATGACTTCTAAAAGGTGGATTCTCTCTTTATTATGGCCTCTTCAATTGATAATCAATGCTTTTTACTATGGGTTTCTGGAAATCCTCTCCCAGAATACTATAGGTATCTGCATCGTCTCATTTACTGATTTATTGAGTTGCTTTTTTATGAGGGGGCATGTTTTATTGAGTAGCTTTTCCTTCTTTGGATGCTCACTAGAACGCTCACTAGAAACTCCAAACGAAGCTAAGTCCAGGTGTAATGTGTGAGTTCGAAGTTAGAAGATCAGACTTCCCACCGCACTTTGCTTTTTTGGGTATTGGAAGTCGTTCGAAGGTAGAAGTTTTGAACTGACTTTTTGTGCTTGAATGGAAAGTATGCATGTCTTACACATATTTTAGGATATTTTCTTTCCTTCTTTGTTTATTAGAGAGGTCATGTAATGCATCAACTACTTTATAGATTATGGGACTTCTCCAACAAGATCAAGACAGAAATCTTTTTCTCTACATGGTATGCGAGCCTTGTCCGGATTAAGGCATTTTTCTGTCATACTATGTTTTCTTTTTCTTTTTCTTTTGGGTGAAGGCATTTTACAGTGGAAAATCAGCAGATCTGGTGGTTTTCTTTTGAGTACCTTTATGGTTCACTTCTCTGATACATGCTAAGGATCTCTCATCCCTTTCAGTCGCTTGGTTTTCTCATATTGCGTTTGTTCCTTCAGACCTCAAAGTGAGGTTTGAAAATGTCACAAATTTATATTTTCCAAAATTGGGGATGAAATGTGAATGCAGAAAACCTCCAAATTCTAAGGCCTTGGCCTAAAATGACTAGAAATGTGAAAAGTTTTAAGTTTATATTATTCTCCTACGGGAGTACATTGTTCAAATACTCCCTTGGTTAGAAGATTTACTGGGGAGGATTTTTAGATCTGAAATTTTGGAACCACCTAATAATCATTAATTTATTGTTTTCTATCACTTAGATCTCACCTTCCCAAAGTTAGATGATCTCTATTCAATCTTGACATTTTTTTTTTTTGAAGGGCATAGAGAATGCAATTTAGAAATTCTTCTTATTGAGTTTAGCCTATTTATTGAAAATATCACTTCTCTAAAGTTTGGGATTCTAAACTTATTCCAATAGTGGGTTAAGAGGTGGAGTAAATAGACATTATACTCCCAAAAAAGTAGGAAATCTTTTGCCAATTCTGAATATTATTTCTCTATCTCGTATGAGGAAT